ATCGTAAAAAAATCCAATCAAGCAACTTGAACCACGTGGCCCTCCTATAGGGAGTCCGTTGCATTACCAGCACAAGGCAAGCGCGTTACTTTGCTTATAAATTGACCTAAGGAGACCGTGGATTTTTATTTAAATAGATACCCTCTCTCACTCAATATTTGAAAATAATGAATTTTAATTGAAAATAATTACCAACTGTTCATATTAATTAAACTAATATACAGTTTAATATTATGATTTTTCTATCCAGAATAATGTAATTTAATTTAAATTAATCAAAGAAAAAATTCGTGTTAAATGATATGTATCCTATTCATAATATTATGAGCGATGTCATAAATAAATCTATATGTCATGATATCAAGAATGACAATATTTCAAACAACAATTTAAAGAATTCATAAAGCAATAAAAATAACAATTATTTGTGGCCCTAAAAGACTCAGGAAATAAAGAAAAAATTCGACCAAAGCCCAAAACTTAATCTAAATCTTTAGTCCAAAATCTCCAAGCATCCAACAATAGCTTTTCCAAAAATAGGGGAAAAAAAATTCTGCCATTGCACCTGTAATTATTTTCAAAAAAAAAACATTTTTTTGAAACTCTTTTACAGATAAAATTGTCTGCACGTGCAAAAGCTGTCTGCCATTGGCAGACATTTAACTGTTTGTCCGGCAAACATTTTTACCGTTCGTCGGCAGAAGGTTAATCCATCTGCAATTAATTATTTTTAAAATAAATAATCATTGAATTCTTTGTTCTCCATCTTCAAGTCTTCTTTCTTCAATTTCCAATCAACTTACAAGATCCAAAAACTACAAGAATTACATAAATTTCCATGTCCCGTAGGCTCACAAATTTTGAATCTAATTGTACAGAAAATTAAATCAAGATGATGGAGTCGTAATCCACCTATCTTGTTACATACTCGAAATAACAAATTACAATCAAAGATTGCCCCCAAATAATTGGTTCACAATTTAAAATTATCCAATCATTCAATCAAGATATAAATTTTTTTCAGATATCGCTCGACTAGAACATGCAATCAATAACAAGTACGTGAACGATCTAGATTGCTTTGATACCAGTTGTTGGAATGTGGAAGCGAAATTAATCAGAAATTAAAATTTTCTTTAATTCAATAAGCAAGATCATCTAGATGTTCACCTGTATGTTATAACAAAATTAAAGGATTCGAATCTTTTTACCTAAGTTCAATGATCAACCTTGAATTAACTCTGATCCGCGAACTTCAGTCTTCTTTAATTGCAAGAATCTTGGTGCTTCAAACTTTCAAGTGTTCTATGGTATTCTCCAATGCAAAGACTACACCGGTGTGTGAGCACCTACTTTCAATTAATCCATAAACTATTTCTTGAATATTGGACAACAAGAAAATAATATATTTTCTCTCTTTTTCTCTATACAATTTTGAATCTTATGGAATTATGAATGTTGTAGTATTTTTCTATCCATCTAGTCTCTATTTATAGAGAAAAAGATGATAGAATTCTAGAAAAATTATAATTTCACATTCAAACAAGAGTTCTAATTAAAATCCAATTCTAATTAGTTTATATATAATTGCATGTGTAGCCATAGAACTTCAATTAAAATTACAATTAATTTTATAACTTTCATAGTAATTACAACCAAGTACAAAACTTTATTGTAATTACAATTAAGTCCAAAACTATTATAATTATCGTAATTAAGTTCCAATACTTTATGGAGCTATCACATGGACCTGATCGGACATATATTTTCCAAGCTTCAATAATTAAATCATGTCTAGTCGACCCTAGACCACCCAATCTAATTATTAGTCTTTGCTTTTTCCACTAAAGGCAAACGACTGAACCCTTGAAATATATAAGATCATAGAAGCCAATAAATCCGTAAAACTTTCCTTTGAGCTGTCGTATATGTATTTTATTCCCGTCCGAGATCCAATAATTAGGTACGAGCATGAATGACCGTTTTGCCCCTCTGATTATTCTCACTAACTTAAGTTTCATTTTCTTCAATGATCCTGTGAACAAATCACAGATGTCGAAGTTTAGTCGCCGCTAAACACTGAGCTCAGATTTTAACCGTTCAACAGGAAATACTCAAGTAGTCACTCTACCCATTTTTAGGGTGACGGTTCTCGACACGAATTCATGTTCTCTACTCCGTTCATTTTCAAGTTCCCAACTGATCGAGATATTTGACCAATCAAATTGATCTCACCCATTGATAAATCAAAGAACAATTAAAATCGCGAAAAGATATACATAATCTTGTCAAAGGATTCAGATGAAATACACAATAGTTAAGTTGAATTTAACTCCGCACGGTCATGCTACAGAATTAAATTCGACACATGGTCCGTTCAATACACTCCAAGTGTACTAGTGTTACCTTTAACTATTTCTGTAATAAGGACAAATCACAAACTTGAATAGTGAATTGGTCAACACTACAACGTTCCAATATAAAGTGTCAACCCTTATACATAGATTGTGAACAAATTATTTATGATCAAAATATAAGTTGTGTCACACTGTACTTCTCAACGCAAGTACCCAACTCATATTATCACAAGTGATCACAGGCACTTTAATTTTGCATACTCAATAATAAATGAATGCAATAAATAAAGTAAATATAATTTTATTCAATATAAAAATTATTATTGTTATTTTTACATCAGCAAAAGTATACTAAATGGACACACAATCCAACAGCTATAACTAAACTAACAGAGCTCCTAGTGTTACATTTGGAATCATGTCAGCTCCCTCATGTAATATTGCTTAAATCGGACATCAATGCAGAACCCAAGCTTCAAAAATCAGACCCGTCGAAATCCTTACCCCACCCTCCATCTCGTCCTCCTCTTTGCTCTCTTATGGAGCCTTTCAAGTGGCGAACTCGGTGATGCCAAGGCCTGCGAAAACATCTAGAAATCAAGCCAAGTCCAAGGTATCGAACTTGGTGGTCTTTCCTTTGACCTACACCCAAGCCTGCTTGAGCCTGAAATCGCATGACCCAGTGGCGTACTCGCCCCTTAACCTTTTGAATTAAGCAGAGGTCTTGAACTCCTCAGCGTCTACAAGATTTCCAGCTCATACAATTTGGTTCTTGCAGAAGAAGTTGCTCTGGACTGCACAATGGCAGGGCTTGTAATGGTGATTGGGAGCTTTCGAACGAATGATGCCCAGTTGAGTAAAAGACACACTCTTGGTAAGAATTCACCGGGACGAAGTTGTTTTCATTTATATAATGCTTGTACTGTTTTAAATGCTACAAGAATATGTAATTTTCCTCAATGATATTTTCGATAGCAAGTTATCTGGCACGATATATTTACTTAACATCTCTAGTACCTTTACCACCAATACTGACAATGGAAAACCAACACACGTTCACTGGTTAGATAACTTGTTCTTACGAACTAAAATTAATTTTATGCACTACAATATTCAAGGAAAAACAACACATGGAACGAAGTGCAATAACGACTTCAAAATCAAGAAGAGTAGAACAAATACTGAGAGGATCGAGATGCAATCAATTGAATTGCTACTTACTTTATAAATACCAAACTCCATAATTATAGTATGTAGCTTTCCTTAATTGTATATTCGAGAGCAAGTTATCTTGCACGAGCTATTTACTTAACTTCTCTAGTTCCTTTTCTCGATTATAGTGAAGTCTTGTTGCCAACAAAGACAAATGGAAAGCCAACACAAACATTCACTGGTTAGATACATCACAATTAATTTTGTGCCTAGAATGTTCAACGAAAACAAAAACA